TCTCTGTCAAATAAATAAATAAAATCTTAAAAAAAAAAAAAAAAAAGATGTCCCACTCCATTTCCCAGGTCCTAAAAAGAACATTTCCAGTTTCTCTGTGTCCTTCACTCATTCCTCTCCAGGACAGACAGAGGACTGACTGCTGAGCTTGGGAGAAGAAACAGAGCATGATGGCCTCAGTTCTTTCCAGTTTCCCTCCCAGTCAGGAACAGCCTGCCTAGAGCACACATAAATTCTGCTTTTAGCTTGGAGGATTAGGATTTGTCCCTGTAAGGGCAAGATCCTGGTTTTGCTTGTTTTGTTGTTTTTGGGGGGAGGTTCAATTTGGGAGGAAGTATACCAGCTCTTTTAGTTGTAGAATTTAAGCCACAATTGCCAATTAATTTTATTAGTAATAAAGCCAACATTTTGATCTCCATTTATCTATCACCTGTCTTATTTCTAAACTTGTTCCAAACTCACGGGGAGAAGAAAGGGGAATTAGTCATCGGCTATCCAAAACTTCAATTACTAATAGTATCTGACTATGCAATTCTTAGGGAGATTAAATAGAATAACAGATATAAAGCTCTTAAAAGTATCTGATACACAGTAAAGTTCAACAAATATTCGCTTTAATATCATTACTATATACCAGATATTGTGCTAGATGGTGTGCTAGTTACCAGTTGCAAGAGGAACTTAATCCCTCAACAGGGTCGGGATGGTTAACCCTATAAATGGGACACTGCAAAAAAAAAAAAAAGTAGCCATCCCATAATTCTCTCATTAAATCAAACATTTTTACTAAGCAAATACCATGTCTCAAGAACTGTGGTAGATACTGGGAATTCAAAATTACATATATAAATCTGTCCTTAAAAAGCTTACAGATTAGAGGATCTATACAACAAAGGAAGAAAGAATTATAAAGTGGTATCTCTTATGTCAAAGGTATACACATTGTTGATAAACTTTAGGAACTCAGAATATAAGGGCTTTAAAACAAATTAAAAAAAAAAAAGCTTATCAGAGCTTGAATCGAATTTGATGAAGTCACCTAGAATACCTTCCATTTTGCCAAATCCAATGGGCAATTTTTAGTCCTCATCTTATCTGACCACTCCAGCCCCTTAAAAGCCAAAAACCAAAACAAAACAACTCTTTTTCTTTGGACTCTGAGATCCTATGAGACTCCACACTCTTTTCCTTATACATCCCTCATCACTCCTTCTTCTCAGTCAACTTTTCCATGCCTCCACCTCTACTTGGCCCTTAAAAGTTGGAGGTCCTCAAGGCTTGGTTATTAAGGCCCCTTTTTCCTCACTGACAGTCTGTCCCTAGCCTGAACTCATCATTTCAGTGATTATGTGCCATTGGCCCCACATTTATATCTCTAACCGACTTCTCTCCTCTGAACTCCAATCTGCACATGGATACCTTGAAGGCATCTCAAAGTCCATATGATCAAATATCAGCTCTCAGTCTGCCTCCACCAAACCTGGTGTCCCTTAGTTCTCCCAGTGCCTTGGACATTTATCCATCCCATTACATTACCTAAGCCAGAAACCCAAAAGTCATCCTTTATACCTTCTTTTTCCTTATACCCTAAATTTGAAGCATACCAGGTCCTAATGATTTTTACCTCCTAAAACTTTCCTAAATCCACCTTCTCTCTATTCTGCCATAACTCTGTTCCAAAGTATCAGCATCTCTTACCTAATATACTGCATGATCCTCCCTTCTGTCTTTCCACATATATTCTTACCTCTTCTACAATCAGTATTTACTACAGAGTGAAATCGTTAAAATACAAATCAAATTATATCTCTGCCATGCTAAAAATCCTTCAACACAATCCACTGCTTTTAGGATAAAATCCTTTAAAGGGTTCTATATGATGTGGTTCCCTGCCTTCCTGTCCAGCCTCATCAGGTATCACTCTTCCTCATCACTCTGACCTTCCTTTAGTCCCTAAAACCCACCACGTGCTCTTCCACTTCATGGCCTTCGAACTTGCCAACCTCCTCTGCTAGAATGTTCTCCCCATTCAGCCCACACTCCCTGCACTTGGTTCACTTCCACTCATCCTCTGGATTATAGCCTTAAAAGTCTAGTTCTCAAATAGAGAGTCCCTAAGAGTGCAGGTAAGGTCTTCACTACATGCTCTTATAGCATTACCACCACTTGTGTTTCTATATATTCATCTGTTAGGTTACTTTACCAGTGCTTGTCTCTTCCACACACTCGTGCTGGAAAATATCCATCTGTTCACCAATGTACCTTTAGCACTTACAGAGAGGGCCCAATGGCTGACAAACAGCAGGTACTCAATAATTAGCTGCTGAATGAATGCAGCATTCTAGCAATAGCATTTCACACAACCAAGAATTATGAAGCAATGTGATCACTAAGAGCAAGTAATATAAAAACTTACCTCATTTGGTTTGTGGCTAGTATTAAGTGGGATAAAGAACATGAATCACCTGGCATAGTAACCTAGATAGTAGGTACTTGGTAAATATGAATTCTCTTCCCTTTCCTTTCTCTAATCGCCTGTAGATATAGAGATAGCACTTTGACTGTAGTATCACTTGACTCACAGTTTCTTAAATTTACTCAAAGTGTGAAAGGTATCTGAAACATTTAATAAAATTGTATTGTACTTAATCAAAATTCACCATTCTGTTTTGACTCTCCAAAGAATTACATAGAATAAGAACAAAAAGCCCAGATTTCCTCTTAAGAAAATTAATAATCTGGATTTACAAAAGATGAATTGGGGTGGTTACAAAACAAGTTTTCACTTTAAAAAGCATTCACCTTAAGCCACTCTAAATAAATGTACAATGATACTTAAAACAAGATTCTATTTACACAGAGCTTTGTACACTATATGTCAAGGCACAGCGGCACTAAACAAAACTCACAGCATTAGAAAAATCCTCTTACCTTATGTTCAAATGGAGCACCATAGTAGCCATCATTCAGCCCAAAAATTATTTCATTTTGGTTGCGGGCATGAATCTAAGAGAAGAAAAACACGCTATCAGTTCTTCTCATTCCAATTAAGTTTTGGTTGATTAAGGCATGACAGTTACAACAGGATCTACTTTAATGCTGAGAAACAGGCTGACTAATCTAACAAGCCAGCAGAAAACATATCATTTATCCTAAGACCAGGTAATCAATTCAGTGCTTCCTGCTTTAGTCAAAGGGTTCACAAAATCATCACACAAGATAACAGGCACGATCATTCACTTTTATTTTCCACAAACACTTCTTGAGATTGCTATGGAAAGGCTATTTCTGAAATACAAGGGATCCAGAGACATACTATACATCCTCTGATCTCAAAGAAAACACAATCCAATTAGTCTATAAGAGTGCTTTATTTATTTATTTATTTATTTATTTATTTTTTTTAAAGATTTTATTCATTTATTTATTTATTTATTTATTTATTTATTTATTTTTTTTAAAGATTTTATTTATTTATTTGAGAGAGAGAGAATGAGAGACAGAGAGCATGAGAGGGAGGAGGGCCAGAGGGAGAAGCAGACTCCCCGCCGAGCAGGGAGCCCGATGCGGGACTCGATCCCGGGACTCCAGGATCATGACCCGAGCCGAAGGCAGTCGCTCAACCAACTGAGCCACCCAGGCGCCCAAGAGTGCTTTATTTAAAAACTATAAAGTCCCAGAAAAAAACACAAAAGATCTATTTTCAAGAAGACAGTTTAGGGGCGCCTGGGTGGCTCAGTCATTAAGCGTCTGCCTTTGGCCTGTGTCTCTCTCTGTCAAATAAATAAATAAAATCTTTAAAAAAAAAGTTTAAAGATAATAATATCTAATTTGCATCATCACTCTGGACTCTAGTTTCAAGTAAAAATGAATGAATCAGATTATGCTCTGTTTTATCATACTTCCATGCCTACCCCCATCTCCTCTGGCTAAATCCAACATAGCATCCAAATTTCACTCAAGATTATCAATTAATTTAACCTAACTGACATCTGGATTCAACAACAGAATACACATCACTTGTACAGGAAACATTCACCAAAAAAGAGATTTTATATTCTAGGCCATAAAATAAGCCTCAAACAAGCTTAAAAGAGGGGCGCCTGAGTGGCTCAGTCGTTAAGCATCTGCCTTCGGCTCAGGTCATGATCCAGGGTCCTGGGATCAAGCCCCGCATCGGGCTCCCTGCTCTGCGGGGGGCCTGCTTTTCCCTCTCCCACTCCCCCTGCTGTGTTCCCTCTCTTGCTGTGTCTCTCTCTGTCAAAAAAAAAA